ATGTGGTTTCACTGGGAAAATAATAAAGTTGATAGGTAAGAAACATTACCAGAACTAAAAATGCGTCGCGGTCGCACAGTGTCCCATCCAAAACAGTTGAGAGCAGTGTGTTAGTTTACCTGCAGTTCATGCAGTGACATGCGCTGACGTGGGGGCGCTAATTCATCCTCAATTTGGAGTTAACAACACACTTGCTGCGCGTTGGAATAATCTAAATTGATGCATTAAAAAATGTAATACTGTTGCAAATATTCATGAGATTTATACTGGGGCACAGCTCATTTATACTGGGGCACAGCTCATTTATACTGGGGCACAGCTCATTTATACTGGGGCACGTGCCCCAGTAAATGGGGTCTGGCGACGCCGATGAGCCAGGCTAAAATCTGGGTTCCTAGGATCTCCTTGAAAGGACGCAAACAAGAACATTATATTGTACAACACTGCCACCGTGTGGGCAGATGGTGAACAGCATGATAAGTCATTGGCTGATAGTTAGTGTGATGTCATTTCCTGCATATGACTTTCCCCGGGAAGCCGCTTTGGCGCGGGTTGCTCTGTTGTTGTGCTGCTGTCATTCAGCTCCTTGGATAAAGACAAAAAGACTAAAGTAATGGCTCCAGTTGCAGACCGAGAAAAAGACGTGGACGTTCCGGACGGCGGTGAGTTTGTTTCTCCCGCCTTCTGTGTGGAGACCGCTACTATTTTCGCGTTAAAACCAAAGTTGTTAGCTAACATTACAGCTAGCTTACTTTAACACCTGCTGCTAGCATGCTTTTAATAATGTTCGTGCCCTTGCTAGATAGATTTGTAAATTTAATTTAGCATTGTTTACGTTATAAAGAGAACAAGGCAGTTTTAACAAACATTGAAATGTAGGAAATAATTACTCATGTCAGTGTCTGTTTCGGCTTTTTTGCGATTTTCTCCATTAAATGACCACTCCTTGTGTTTGGCAGTTAGCTGCTAGTCAGATGCACTTGATGAACGTATAATTACGAAGTTTGATGAACTATATTAACTGTAAAAGTTTTAATTTAAGCGTGGAGGCTAAAGCATTGTTTTAAATCAATGTATAATAATACAGCAGCAACTGCCTAAAAAAAGTAAAACCTGAGCTATCTGTTTGGGATAAAAGGTTAATTTAGAGAAATTGGAAGTCATTTCTGCAGTGCAAATGATTATTCACCTGTCATTTTGACCAATCACCTATCATATGAGATGTCCACCTCCTTCCACATTCATCCTGAGGTCAGACTCATCAGAGAAACAATGAATTAATATCTTAAACTCAGTGGCACACCGACAGATGTAAATGACCAGATAAAAATGGTTCAAACGAGGAAAAGTGAGGCATTATAAAATCCTTTAACAACAAATAGAGGCTGACAAATAACTTAGGATATGAAAATTTTAGGTTTTTGTCACCTAATGTGGCTTTACAGGGTGTTTATAAGTTTTTGAAAGTTGTCTGTTTGCCAGTGTAGAATTGGATGTGAATAACTTTAGAACCTGGATTCTGGAGGTCTGATTATTTTACTATGCTTTCACCTGTAGGTCATTGAAAAGAAGCTTGGATTTAAAACTCATATGCTGCTCTTTATTAACACTTAAGTTATTTGTCCACCATAATCATGTTAATAATTTTTTAACAGATGACCAGGGTGATGCCTGCGGTCTGGCGAAGTCTCGCTCCAGACGAGAAAAGAGGGAGAAGGTGGGCAGGAAGTCGGCGCTGGAGCAGCTGAAGAAGGCCAAGAAGGGGGAGAAGATCAAATATGAGGTGATGGCAATAGTTCCTTGTCACTTATGGATAAATATTTATTCAAGTTAGAAAAACAGTGGCAGCTTTAGATGTCCCGCATCCCACCCACTCCTTTACTGTAATCACATCTCACAGAAGTCAAAGACCCTTAGATCCAAGTCAATCAGAAAATCAGTAGGAAGTTATTTTTATATTTTCAGTAATTCAATTTATTAAGTTACACACCGATTTATATATGTCAATCATGTTGTACTGTTAATTTTGATGATTGTGGCATGTATGTAAAACCCACTTTCATCTCTCAAAAACATGTTGATTTAGAAACCCCCCTCCTCCGGTGAAAGCGTTCCCAAATGAAGTGCCTTTGTTATTGACTCTAGTATGCCATGTTATTCCTTTAAACGCTCAGTCGGTTCTCCACAAGGTTTTGGTCTGGCCAGATTTCTGACTATGGTTAAAAATACTCATGGATCCATTGCATGGTGCTTTTGGCAGCCTGAGCTGGAGCTAGGTTGACGTTTGGTGGCTGATAACACGCAGGCTCCTTCTGCAGGCCACAGTTTGGGAACCTTCACTCATATTCTTCAGCAGCCTTTCCTTCACAGTCCTCTCACAGGTTTCCTGCGGGTCCTTAAAAAGTCTTAAAAAGCATTGAATTCTTCAAAATAAAACAAAGGCCTTTATTGGTATTAAAATGTCTTAAAT